TCTGCGCGGCCGCTTGGCATACCTCATCACTGACCCCGACCCCGTGCTGCACGACGACCACTTTTTGTGTGATGTCTTGCTTCTGCAGAGCTATGCAAAGGAGTTCCTTGCTGACCAGAAGAGCGACCTCGACTATGACTCCATCCTCGAGGAAGTCAAGGCCACAGGGTGCGTCGCTGTTTTTGTGTTGTGTTGTCTTGTGTGTGTGTGTGTGTGTGTGTGTGTGTGTGTGTGTGTGTGTGTGTGTGTGTGTGGTTCGTTGCTTGAGATCATCCCTTCCACATCCACACACATACACATCCACACACAAAAATAAAATACAGCACGTCAACCCTCACTCACTCCATGACACCTGCACCACCTGCCGCCATCGCTCGTTACATCTGCTTGGTTGGTTGCTGCAGCGGCGCCAACTACGGTACCGGTGTTCGCAAGGAGTAGACAATCTTCACTTTCCCGCCACTCATCTCCCCTCTCTCTACACCAGTGACGTGATGTGAATCTCCCTCTGCCTACACATTGCTTCATCCTTTTGTGTCGTGTCTTTCGCTCTCGGCGTCGTCTCAGCAGCTGTCATTCCCAGTCCCGTCTGTTTCTCGTGCTTTCGTGTTTTGTCACATCACACGTGTGTGTCATGCTCCCTTCCACGTTCCTTTGATCCTTCGTTGCAGTTTGTGCTTGGGGGTCCGAAAGGTACCACAATCATGATGATGATGATGATGATGGTCTGATTCCCCCTTGTCGTCGTAATCGTGGTGCCTCGCATCCCCCTGCTCATCTCCTCTCCGCTCTCCCCTGCGTTCCGCGCCGGCTGGTGCTGGTTGTGTTGCACCATTGCTGCTGCTGCTGCTTCTTCTTGCGCGCAGTTTGTCATGAGTGCAAACCGCAACCACCACCGCCGCCATCAATGAATACACGGATGGCATTGCATGAGCAGGTCGAGCAGGGACAGTGGCAACCACGTTCCAGCGAGACAAACACAGAGGCAGAGACAGGGAGGGGAGAAAGGGGGAGAACAGGAGGATGCGCAAGACACACACACACACACACACACACACACACACACACACACACACACACAGGTAGCCAGAAAGGAGGGGTGCGTGTGCTAGAGGGAGGTGGCTGCCTGTGCCGGGCGCCAGAGGTGCATTGCGCCGTCTTCCCCATATGTGCACACAATGTTCTCGTGCGGGTGGTGCAGCACGCCAATCGGGCCCCGGGCATGCGCCTGAGGGCGATGATGGTTATGACCACATGTGTAGGAGGCAGTGAGAAAGAGTAGGGCAGACGTGTGTGACGTTTCTCTCTGTGTGTGTGTGTGTGTGTGTGTGTGCGTGCGTGTGCGTTCGCGAGATGCCAGACAACATCACCGCCGCCGCCGCCACAACACCAACATCATCCAACACCAACATCATTTCACACCACGACCGGCCCAACCTTGGTGGTGAGACGCAGGTCGCCTGTTTCCTGGACAAATGCGTGCAGCTGTCCGTCCTCGGCGAGGGCATACACGAAATTGCCACGCGGAGAGACGAGACACGACACAAAGTCGCCACTCTTCTTCTGCTTGTTGGTCATCGAGCGAAGCACCTGCGACATGGCATGGCATGGCATCGTGGTGGTGGTGGTGGTGGTGGTGAGGTGGTGCACGGAGAGGTGCGTGTGCAACACAACATACACACATCAACACACAGCACATCAAAAACAACACGCATACACACACACACACGGCACCAACACACACACGACACACAACACACAACACACAACACACAACACACAACACACAACACACAACACACGACACGCGCTCAATCACACACCTGGCCCTTGAAGTTGACCATGTAGAGGGTGTTTGACCGGTTGCAGACAATGAGTGTCTCTGGCTGGTGCGGCACGAGCTGTGCGCTGTTGACGGTCAGCCCCGTTGTGGTGGGCCCGCCAAAGGAATCAAGCGTCGACACGCACTCCCCAGACTTGATGTGCCAGATCTGATGCACACGCATGATGACGGTAGTTGGGGTGACGAGCGGTGAGCGAAAGCAAGCACACGGACTACTTCGCACGCGTTCACATCCTCACTCTCACAGACTCGTAAACATTCGCACATGCACACACACATGCACACACACACATGCACACGCCCCCACCCCGGACCCAGCCGCGTCCACATGCACGACGATGACGGCTGCTGCACCTTGACGGTGCCGTCCGAGCTTGCGCTGATGAGACGGGAGTAGTCCATGGAATAGCACACGGAGTTGACAAACGACTTGTGGCCCCGGAACTCTTTCATCATCCGCCCAGACCGCAGCCCGTGGATCCTACGCACAAATACACGCACACACACACACACACGCACGCACACGCACGCACGCACGCACGCATACACGCACGCACACGCGTACAGTGGCACAACCGTGAGTGATGAGGCTCGTATGCCGCGGCGTGGTTGCTGGCACATTGTGTGGTATGCGTGTGCAACATGTAACAGAACACACACACAAAACGCACACACACGCACACACAACGCACACACGCATGCAACGAGCGCACGAGCATCAGCCATCCCCCAACCCCCTCAACTGACTTGACGGTGTGGTCGAAAGACGACGATGCAATTTGGCTGTTGTCGCGGGAAAACGCAACACACGTGATGCCCTCTGCATGCGCTCGCTCGTACTTGCGCAAACACTGGCCCGTCGACACCTTCCACACCTGCACACGTGCATATGTGGTCGCAGTGGAAGGGAAGGGTGGGCACTTGACAGCATGGCTTATGCACAACGAGCAAAACAGACTCACACCAGCATGCACACAAGATGCACACATACTCATTCAATAACTCACACTCACACTCACACTCACACTCACACTCACACTCACACTCACACGCACACTCACACGCACACTCACACTCACACGCACACTCACACGCACACTCACACTCACACTCACACGCACACGCACACTCACACTCACACGCACACGCACACTCACACTCACACGCACACTCACACGCACACTCACACTCACACGCACACGCACACTCACACTCACACTCACACGCACACTCACACTCACACTCACACTCACACTCACACGCACACGCACACACGCACCCTCATTTTTCCGGCCTGTGAAGCGGAGACGAGCATTTCACTGTCGCGGCTGAAGGCGAGCGCAAGCACGGGCGTCTCCATCATCATAATGCGTTCCTGGTGGTGATTGATGATGATGATGATGATGATTGATGATTGGTGATGATTGATGATGATTGGTGGTGGTTTATGATGGCGGTGATGGTACGTGGAGTCGGTGGTGGGGATGAAGGTGCGTGAGGATGGTGGTGAGGGTGGCTGTTTGCGAACTCATGACATGCAGATGCTGGGGTGCAGTGACACGAGAAGCAGAGCTAGACAGGCGTGCGCCCGCACCTCTGCCTGGTATCTGAGATCCTTGCGCAGCTTCCCAGATTTGTGATTCCACACCTGAACGAGCAAGCGACAAACACGTGAGACAGGGCGGCAAAGGCGCACGCGCGCGCGCACACGCCATAACTCATAGACTCACACAAGAACACGCACAAACGCACACACAAGAACACACACACGCACACACAAGGACACACATACACACACAACACAAGAACACAACCACACACAACACGCACGCGCACGCGCGCACACGCACACACACACACACAACACAAGAACACAATCACAACAGCAACACTACACCACAGCACCACGGGGTGCAGACCTCGATGAGCCCGTCCACGCTGCCGCTGACGAGGAACTTCCCGTCCGGCGAAAACGCCGCACTCTCACAGTGGGATTTGCCGCCAAGCTGAACAGTGGCGATGCCGTGGGTCGGTGTGAGCACGAACAACACATACCCAATAGTCACCCCGGTGGTGGTGGTGGTGGTGGTGGTGGTGGTGTCCAGCAACATACAGGTCGCACTGCGCTGGAAGTGAAAATCCAGCAACACGTGTCGTCTCGCTTCATCCTCTTTCATCCCCTCCCATTCCCTTCTCTCTTCTATCTTTGCACTCGAGTCTACACCGCCTGTGTAACGGTTGGTGCCGCACCTTGATGGTTTTGTGCACACGCGCCACCATGCGCTCCTCCTCCAGCTCCTTCACCGCCGTTTTCCCGCGGAAAAGGTCGATGGATGCGCCTGCGCAGGTATGAACGCACGTGCGCCACATTGGGTGTGAGTGTGAGCGTGAAGCGGCTGCCTGTCCCAGTGACAGGACAAACACACACACGCGCGCGCACACACACACGCACGCACACGCACGCGCACACACACACGCACACGCACACGCACACGCACACGCACACGCACACACACACGCACACACACGCACACGCACACGCACACACACACGCACACAATAGGCAGACCTGAGGGGAGGATGCCTGTGTGCTGCTGCCACTTGACGGCCTGCTGCAGGAGTGTGAGCATTCGCGATGGCGGCGCAACCGTCACATCGCCCGCCAGCGCTGCAAATGTGTGTGTGTGTGTGTGTGTGTGTGTGTGTGTGTGTGTGTGTGTGTGTGTGTGTGTGTGTGTGTGTGATGGTGAAGATGAATGCACGAAGGGACGTTCGCGTTGTGTGTAAGGCGTCATGCGAATGAAAAGAGCATGAGGGGAGGCATCGCGGTAGTAGAGCAGCGACATTGCGCACACGCGCACGCACGCACCTTCAGCAAGAGCTGCGCGCCTGCTCTCCCTTGAGCCGCCCTCGCCGTATGCCTGTGGGACACACACAGCGCCAGCATGCAGCAAACAGCAAGATCAGCAACATGACTCGGGACTTTACGCCCACCATACAAACGCGCGCACACACAATATGCACACATGGAACCATCGATGTGCACACGCTCATCCCATCCCCTCTCACACAACCCTTCCCCTCTTCACACACACACACACACACACACACACACACACACACACACACACACACACACACACACACACACACACACACACACACACACACACACACACACACACACACACACACACACACACACACACACACACGGACCTGTCTGGGGTCGAAGAAGTCCTGTGCCATCATGTGCTCCAGCCGCATGTATCTGTCTGGGTCTGTCTTCTTGAGTTTGATCATGGGGTCTGTTTGACGCAGCACTGAGCGGGCAGCCCCAAACTCCTTCATCTCGATCAATTCAAGCACAATCTGCCATCCAAAGGCAGGCGCACAAGCACGAAGCGGTTCGCATGGGCACACGTGAGCGAGTGTGGCGACGGTAGTGACGCAGGAACGCTCTGTGGTGTTGTTGCATCTGCAAGGCACGCGCAAGAAAACGCACTTGTTCGTAAAGGAGCATCAAAGTCTTGTCTGGCAGCTTGATGTGCGTGACAGTCTTGAGAATGGTGTCCCAGTGACCATGCCGCACATCTGACAGAAACGTGTCCAGGTTGTCAATCACATTCATGCTCACGCCAGTTTCCTGTTTGTAGCGGGGAGGGAAAAGGGGTGGGGAAAGAGGGGTGTGTGTGTGTGACGGTGATTCGAGTGAGGCCGAGCAAGGTGGGTTGTGCCCACTGGAGAGCGAAATCAGACACGCATGTGCGCACACACACACATACACATGTGCACACACACATACACATGTGCGCACGCACACATACACATGTGTGCAGGCACACGCACACGCACACGCACACGCACACGCACACGCACACCCACACGCACACGCACACCCACACGCACACCCACACGCACACACATGCTCTCACGCACCCGCACACAAGTAGACGCACCTCGAGCAAGGCGTTGTAGGACTGCATGAGGTTGTTCTCCTTGAGAAACTGCAGGACGAGGCGAACAACGTCCCCGCTCTCAATCTCCAGAGAGCCATTGTTGTTCGTGGTGCTTGTGCTGCTGCCCTCACTTGAGGTCCGCCTCTTGGATGAGGACGTGCTCGACATGTCTCTGGGTGCGTGTGTGTGTGCGTGTGTGTTGCAGTGCAGTGGTGTTTGCACGTTCGCCAAGAGCAGCAGCAGTCGTGTTGACGGGTGTTGACGGGTTTTGCCACCGTCCAGCTTGGTAAAATCGCCCTTCCCAATGTGGCAAAATAGGACCGCACAGATTGCAGCCCAGTCGTTCAACCCAAGACATTCAGCGGACAAGACAAACAACAAGCGAAGGCACACAAACAAGCGAAGGCACACAAACCATCACCACACACACACACACACACACACACACACACACACACACACACACGCACACACACACACACACATACACATACACAAAGGACAATGGGGGCGTTGTCTGGCGTGAGAACTGCGCTGGTGCAGGGAGGAACCCGAGGCATCGGGTTGGAGTTTGTGAAGCGGCTGGCAGCGCAGCCGCACGTGGAGACCGTGTTTGCGACGGGAAGGAGTGCTGCAAGCAACCTCAACGGCGGTGGAAGCAAGGACAGCGACGGCAACAGCATGTTGATGATAGACCCAGTGTTAGCAAAGAAGGTGGTACCGGTGCATGTTGACATTCGAGAAGAGGATAGCATCAAGGCTGCAAGCGAGCAGGTCAAGGCTGCATGCGGTGGCCGGCTTCACTTTGTGCTGAATGCGAGCGGGTTTCTCCACCGCGCGCACGACGGCGTCGGCCCAGAGCGCAAGCTGGCAGACGTGCGGCCGGAGCTGATCCACGACAACTTCAGCGTCAACGCCTTTGCGCCGATTCTCTGGGCCAAGCACTTGGCCCCGCTTCTCAAGCACAAGGAGCCGGCCGTGTTCGCGTCCATCAGCGCGCGCGTTGGGTCCATCTCAGACAACGGGATGGGCGGGTGGTTCTCCTACCGCGCAAGCAAGGCGGCGCAGAACATGTACATGCGGTGCCTGGCCATTGAGTGGCGACGCACGCACAAGAACGTGACGGTCTTGTCACTCCATCCAGGCACCGTCAGCACCGACCTCTCCGCGCCGTTCGTGGTGAGTGTGTTACGATGAAGGCGAGCAGAGCGCACACCGCGCATCACAGACGCCCCGCCTTGCCTGAAGCACTGCAAAGGTGGCTGCCGAGATGGCTGGTTATCCCGGCGGCTGCCGGGGTCAAAGTGTTGCGCTAACATGTTGCGTTCACGCAGCACCCCTCTCACTCCTCAAACGCACACGGCGTGTATTGCGTGTCCTTGTCTCCACAGGGCAACGTGAGGCCAGAGAAGCTGTTTACCACAGAGCAGTCTGTGAACCATCTGTGGAACGTGATGGATGCGACCACACCAGCAGACACGGGCAAATTCCTCGCCTGGTGCGCGTTTTGTGGGCTTGATCGTGTCTGTTGGCGGCTGGTTGTGTCGGTTGACGGTGCCGGTGGCACTCCCATCCCCACAGTGACATGGCTGTAGGCACTGTTCTCTTAATTCATTCAACATACACGCACACTGCACATGAACACAGGGATGGCAAGGAGATACCGTTCTGATCCCGAACCAAAAAAAAAAAAAAAAAGCGCCAAGCACAGGTGGAGAGGGGAGACGCACCGGGCTGCCAGGTTGCAACGACCACGTGTGACAGCAAGCTTAGCAGTCACGTCTTGGCGACCTTTGCCTTCCCGCTCTTGTGCACAGTTGGGCGCTTGTTGTGACAGTGCCGGCAGCCACATGCCACGCACAGCACACCTTTGAGCACACATGGGCACCTGTTGTTGCATCATGCGTGCATGAGGTGTGCGTAAGTGTGTGTGTGTGCGGGTTGAGTTGAGTTGTGTGTGTGTGTGTGTGTGTGTATGTGTTGAGTTGAGTTGTGAATGTGCTCGCAAGGAGTGACCATACATGTGTGTGTGCATGTGTGTGTGTGTGTGTGTGTGTGTGTGTGTGTAAGCCGCAGCATTGGGCCAGGCAGTCGTGTGCGAGAGTGACACTAAACGAACAGAAATACTGCACACTTCAACAACTCGAGTTCCAAACATAGCCGCGGTCATAAACGGCACACAAACTACATCAGCGACACCCACCCCCCTCCTTCCAAATCGGCGCAACAAACACGGCTTTCGCAACGCACTCGTCATCGACACAGCACTTGTCGTGCTTGCTGGTGTGCTTGGTAAGGCCGCAGTTGCAGTGGGTCGCCTCGAGCAAGCCCGAGTGCCGCGCCGACCGCCGGGTCATCGTGGTCTTCTTCGCCGCTGCAGTTGTCGTGGACATGGCGGTGGTGGCGTGGGCGCGTGGGCGTGTGCGGGTTGGTGTATGTTTGGGTGGACGTGGTGCAGTGGTACAATGCAGGACAGAGGCAGCAAACACAAGCACGCGCGTGTAGGACGAAAGCGGAGCTATGACAGCAGCACGCAAATCGCACGCACGCACACGCACACACGCACGCGCGCACACAGGCGTGTAAACGACCCACGTTGCTCTGCGGGTTGTGCTGCGAGCGTGACCTCGGTATGGGGCTGCTTCACGTGCGCGAGGAGCTCTTTGTACGTCGCAAACGCCCTGTCACACCCCTTTTTGTCGTAGCAGCAAGCACAAACCAACGACAGAGACGCACACGTGCAGAGGGATGGTGGGCCAACGCAAAGAAAGGGGGGGGCCTTCAAACAAAGCCAAACCTTCCTTACCAACACACACACACACACACACACACACACACACACACACCAACCCTCTTACTCTCTGCCATAAAGCGGTACCTTGACGTTGCAGCGAAAGGCCTCTGGGTTGCGGTGTGCTTGCATGTGCGCCCTGAGAAGATCATCGCGCCCAAACCCGCGGTCGCACACCAGGCAGATGTACGGCTTCACCCTGCATCAGCAGCATTGAAGCTGTCGTGAGCTGATAGAGCAGAAGTCGCAGGCAGCGACGCACAACACACACACACACACACACATACACGCACACACACACAACAGGCATACACACACGCGCACATACAAACACACACACACACAACAGGCACACACACAGGGATTCGTCGACGGTGGTGAGGGCAGAGTCCTCGAGGAACGGCGGTACGGTGATAAAGTGGCGAGCTCGCGCGGCTGGCCCTTGTCGTTGTTCTTCCTCGTCCACCTTTACTTGGCGTTGATGCTCCTGTACTGCTCGTAAATCGGGCGCGAGGCCAAGGCGCTGCAACTGTCCGCGCAGCAGCTCACTTGCCGCCAGCGCCCCACCGACATTTCGTTCTGTCAGCTCAATCAGCTGCTTCAACCGCTTCACTTCCAAGTCCTCCCATCCCTCGCGTTCCTTCTCCTCCAGCACCTCAGCCACAGCCTGTGGCTGCTGCTCGCTTTCGTCACCATGCTTCACCTTGTCCTGGCCACTGCTGCTCGCGGCGGTGTCGGTGTTGTTGCCAGCGGGAGCCACGCGGTTCGCTGCGCCCTCCACTTGTGGGTTGTGTTCTTCGCGCGGCCTGCGGTTCAGCTCGGCTGCGCCTGCGCGTGGGTCGGACACGGTGAGCCGCAGCCACCTGAGCTGCGACACCAGCTGCTGTGCAATGGCCCGCAGCTCCACCTCCACGGCTTGCGCCTCATCAACATCAACACCGTCTTCACTCTCGCCACTACTGCTGTGACTGCCACGCCTCCCCCCGCTCTTGCCACTGGTGCTACTGGTACCACTGGTGCCACTGGAACTGGATGAGCCCTTCGTGGCCGTGGCGTGGTGATGCTGGCGAAGCGCGGCCAGCGCGTCTTGGGCGCGGATCACGTGCTGTATTGCCTTTTCATTCGTCTGCTCGCACCGCGACACTTCCCTGGACACACTCCTGTCCTCCATTGTCTCTTGCCTGCGTGCGCGCGCGCGTGTTTGCGTGTGTTTGCGTGTGTTTGCGCGTGTTTACGTGTGTATGTGTGTGTGTGTGTGTGCGTGCGTGTGTGCGTGCGTGCGTGTGTGCGTGCGTGCGTGTTGGCTGGAGTGAGAGAGGGCGAGCGAGCGAGAGCAAGAGAGGGTGAGTGTATGTGTCAGTGCAGTGCTTCCCGAACTCATGTCAGTGAGACAACAACCACTGCACAACCAAACGGCGGTCATATGCGTCTACACTTTATGGTGTTGGTGACAGCTCCTGGTTCCGTTGTGGGTGCGTCTGCATTCCCGGTGGCCCACATTCGGCTGTAATTGCACCTGCAATTGGCAAATCAGCTCCTTTCCCAGTCGGCCACACCGCAAAACAACCAAAGCCCAAAGTGTCTGAGCAGACACCTCTAACTCATGTAAACCAACCAACAACCCGGCCAGACGGAGACAGAGAGAAAGAGAGAGGGAGAGAGAGAGAGAGAGAGTATGCGTCCGTATGTGTGTCCGTGTGCGTGACTTAATAGGGCCCTGTTAACCGCCTGTGCGGGTTTTATTTGGTGTGACATTCCCCGCACGAGATCTTCTCTTTTGCTATTCGACCACATCAACAACCATGTCTCGAGCTACAAAGACGCCTGCATCCTCAGACTAACACAGGATGCGCCCCACACACGCAGGTCCCTCCTAGTGTCATTCGTGTGCAGCAGAACACGTCACAGTGAGCAGGGCGTAACCGCAAACACACCACACACGCACCACCCCATATGGCGCACCATGTGCAAGCGCGCGTGCACCCCGGTGTGGGCGGTCCAACACCAAAACTGGCAATGCTACGCACCTCAAACTAACACAGGATGCGCCCCACACACGCAGGTCCCTCCTAGTGTCATTCATGTGCAGCAGAACACGTCACAGTGAGCAGGGCGTAACCGCAAACACACCACACACGCACCACCCCATATGGCGCACCATGTGCAAGCGCGCGTGCACCCCGGTGTGGGCGGTCCAACACCAAAACTGGCAATGCTACGCACCTCAAACTAACACAGGATGCGCCCCACACACGTAGGTCCCTCCTAGTGTCATTCATATGCAGCAGAACACGTCACAGTGAGCAGGGTGTAACCGCAAACACACCACACACGCACCACCCAATATGGCGCGCCATGTGCAAGCGCGCGTGCACCCCGGTGTGGGCGGTCCAACACCAAAACTGGCAATGCTACGCACCTCAAACTAACACAGGATGCGCCCCACACACGTAGGCCCCTCCTAGTGTCATTCATGTGCAGCAGAACACGCCACAGTGAGCAGGGCGTAACCGCAAACACACCACACACGCACCACCCCATATGGCGCACCATGTGCGCAGTCTTACAGAGGTCTTGACGAACAATTGAGATGTCCTCCTACGCTGTGATGAGCCTGGTCAGCTTGCTTGGCTGAAAGGACTGGGCAGATCGCCTGCACAACCGGTGGCCAGTGGTGTTATGTGAGGGTCGTGCATGAGCAGAGAAACAACGCATCCGCACGACACTGGCATTAGCATGCAGGCCCACGGATAAGTGAACGAACAAACAAGCAAGCAAGCAAAAATACATAGAAACAAACACACACATATGCACACACACACACACAGGTGCGCATGTTCATTCACATGAACAACAGCTCAACGAACCAGGTCGTGGTTTGGTCGGAGTCATGTCGACAGAGGCAACCGAGCTTCGGCCACCCACCATCTTCTCGCGGTTGCGCGGGTTTGGTGCCTGATATTGACATTCCTCTTGGGCTTGCTGCTGCTGCTGCTGCTGCTGCTGTTGTTGTTGTTGTTGTTGTTGTTGTTGTTGTTGTTGTTGTTGTTGTTGAGGCACCTGTGGTTGTTGTTGTTGTTGTTGTTGTTGTTGTTGTTGTTGTTGTTGTTGTTGTTGTTGTTGTTGTTGTTGTTGTTGTTGTTGTTGTTGAGGCACCTGTGGTTGTTGTTGTTGTTGTTGTTGTTGTTGTTGTTGTTGTTGTTGTTGTTGTTGTTGTTGTTGTTGTTGTTGTTGTTGTTGTTGTTGTTGTTGTTGTTGTTGTTGTTGTGGCACCTGCTGCTGCTGCTGCTGCTGCTGCTGTTGTTGTTGTTGTTGTTGTTGTTGTTGTTGTTGTTGTTGTTGTTGTTGTTGTTGTTGTTGTTGTTGTTGTTGTTGTTGCTGTTGTTGTTGTTGTTGTTGAGGCGCCTCTTGTTGTTGTTGTTGAGGCACCTCTTGTTGTTGTTGTTGAGGCACCTCTTGTTGTTGTTGTTGAGGCACCTGTTGTTGTTGTTGTTTGTTCTCTGGTTCCTGCTCATCTGCTTGATGTTTTGAGGGCTTGCTGCTCGTGGGTGCCATCAGTGACTGCAGAAGGGAGACAGCGAGTGGCGCACCTGGTCGTAGAAACACACCCCAACAGCTTGGACTTGAACAACGCGCTGGAGAAGTAGGCAAGGTACATGTGGCAAAGTGGGCAAGCTACACACCATCATTTCGCTGCCTCAAAGCCTCGCCGCGAGGTTGGAGCTGCTGTTCCTCGAAAACTGGCTCCGTTCGCCGGGCACCTTGCACTTGAGGTTGCGAGTGACAAGCGGAAGAAGCAACGTCAGGACATGTGTGGGTGCGTGCGTGTGTGGGTGCGTGCGTGTGTGTGTGTGTGTGTATGCGTGTGTGTGTGTGTGTAGGGGTACCTGCGGGCTCCGCGTCATTTGAGTCCGACTTCGGTTGCCACGCATCATCTGTATGTATGCAGAATGTACGGTCGCCGATGAGATTGTTGGTTGGTGTGTCTTGCATGTCATCCACGCGGTACATCACGCATGCACGATCGCATCACGCATACACAGAGCACATACATGCGAGTGCACGTACGAAACAGCGGTTTCCTAGCGCCCTCCCGAGTGCTTGCCGCCTTCTTGCCTCCCCTACGGCCGCGCACAGGGAACAGCCGCAGTCTCGACGGGGCCAGTGTCTTCACTCTTTTTCGGGGGTGTTCCTGCTTGATGCCCGCTTGTCGACATCGCTTCTGCCCGTCGGCAATGATGGAGATCCTGTCCGTGAGGCGGTCGATGAGAGTGCAAATGTCCTCAAGGTCAACGACAATCCCCGAGGGGTATTCTGTGATTTCGTCCAGCTGCCGCGACATGGTGCGCATGAGCTGTTTCACGCGATCTTTGGTTCGCCCTGTTCGGCCAGCAATGCACGGATGATCGTGTGAGTACGCAGGAGTGGATATGTGTGTGTGTGCGTGCGTGTGTGTGTCTGTCTGCCCGAGCGTGTGCGCATCTCTTTCTCTCTCAACTCACTCACTAGCACATACACACACACACACACACTCGCTCTCTGTCACCCTCTGTCACTCTCTGTCACTCAGTCACTCTGTGTCAGCGCGCACGCGCACGAGTACGCTCGTGTACACGTGCATGATATCCTGTTTCACCTGTGTGCCGGCTTGGTTTGTGTTCTGGCGTTGGGGCAGCGACGGGAAATGATGTGGCTCGGTCGGTGCTGCCCGTCGTGTGAATGAAAACCGCAGCCGTGTGCTTACATACAGGGGGAGAGCCCTTGTACGCAGGACACACGCACTCATAGACGTGGATGCAGTCAGCGCGGGAGCAGAACTCGCACGTAAACGCAGCTCTCATGGTGACAGCCTTTGGGTCCTTGTCAGGGAATGACACTGTGAACGACAAGTCACTGGTGCGATCAACACTTGGACCCGCTTGCTTAGCGATGCTGAGTGCCGATGACGCGCAGCGTTGTGCCTTCGTAACCACTCCATTGACTTGAGCGTGTAGAACCTTCTGTCTTTGCTCCTCCGCGAATGAGAGCAAGCGGCGCAGCAGGTAGTCAGCACGCCCCGATTTCCTGTCAAGGTGTTCCTTGAGAACGCGGTGAAAGGACTGCGCCCATCGGAGCACAATGATTAAACAACCAGGCATGTGCCACGAGGTAACGGACAGCGAAGAGCACGTAAGGGTGTGGTTCTTCAGGTGAATGCGTGCATATCTCTGGGTGCGTGTGTGTGTGTGTGTGTGTGTGCGTGTGTGTGTGTGTGTGTGTGCGTGTGTGTGTGTGTGTGTGTGTGCGTGTGTGTGTGTGTGTGTGTGCGTGTGTGTGTGTGTGTGTGTGTGTGTGTGTGTGTGTGTGTGTGTGTGTGTGTGTGTGTGTGTGTGTGAGCGTGTGTGTGTGTGAGCGTGTGTCTGGGTATGACCACTAACCTCGATATAATTGTTCGTCGTTGGATCTTGGAAATCTTGGA